TTTGCAATGCCAGAGGCTTTGAGATCCCGGATTGCTGTGTCTTGAAGTGCCTTTACGTAGGACACAGGCATGCAGATGACACGTGCTTCCTCTCCACGCCATAGACTGTTCCATGCAAGGCGAAGGCCCATAGTCAAAAGGCCCCGTCCAGTGACAAGCCGGTCTGCATGCTCATACACCTCCTGAGGTTGAAGACCGAACTTGCCCAAAGGGTCATTTTCAACCCCTCCTAGGGGCCGAATCTCGTCATCTCTACCCTGGAGTGCCAAGGACCAGGCTTGAAAGATCTCCTTCTGGCCCGAACCATCGATGAGGGTGTGAGGCCATGTAATAGAGACGAGTGTTGCATCGTGAAAGGAAACAACGTGAAGGCCCAATTGAGGCAGGTCTGTGTAGAGATAGTCGGCAAGCTCCTTTGGGCCATCGGCGGGACGCGTCAACGGGTGCAATACATTTGGTTCCGCCACGACAGAGGGGGACGTCGTTGACTTGGGCAAGTGGCACGCGATCGAGTGCTCGGTCGTAGGCATGTCATAGTTATCATGGGAGAAGACAAGAGCTGGTCTCGCGGCGCTGCATTGCTTGGGCACATGATACTCGAGCTTTCCTTTTTCCTGACCACAAAACACGTAAGTAAGTCTAAACGTAGCTCTGCAGGCATAGACGGATATTGCTGGAACTGAGAAGTGTTCTTACGTTCAGCCTCAGGCGCGCTGTAAGTTTGCGCCAGCCATCCTCTCTGGTCACAAGTCTTTCCAAGGCTTGTCGGAGTTTCTGAGGATCAAGAACATCATCAAACCTCAGCATGAAGTTGACCACGATCTTCCGCAAGATTGGATTGTCGTCAAAATGATGGAGGGGAATAACGTCATCCGACGCGACCCGAGCAGGCGTGTTAGGGGTGCTCTTGAACTTGTTCCACATGTTTTCAATTATTAGCTTGAGCCGTACCCATATGTGCTGGGAAACAAGGCTTCCTGGCTCTCTTAAGCCTTACGTATCAGCGGCACGGGTCGGCCGCAGATGTCATACTTGGCCGTTCCAACCGGGTGGAGGTCGGGTGGGGAGCGGGAAGACTAGATGGAGCAGCTTGCGCCCGAACATCCCTGGCTTGTCAGTCTTACTTGCATATGGCATCCACCGGATTCCTCTCAGCTTGGCAGTTTGTCAGTTCCAGACTCTTTCCCGTTTTTGTCTCGGAAAGTTCTAGCGTCTGGTGCTGTTGGTTCAACTCGATGGTGATTATTATGGGGCAGGCGAATACGATTACGACTGGATAAGCTGGTGACAGGGGGCCTTCGGAGACATTTCCCAAAGTCCCTTGCGGCAGAGATACGTACCACCCTTCCTGACAGTCTTTCGTATTCGTGTTCCGAACCTGTCTGTCCGACCACAAACGGTCCAGAGCATTCTCCAACCAATCAAGCATCTCAATCCTTAGATTATTCGGTCATGCAGGTACAAATGGGGTCCCTGAAATGTGATGGATGAATTTTTTGAGATTGGAAGACAAAGGGGTTCGTCTTCTCTTTAACTACTGGAGCTCGCCTTTCTCTTGCGACGAAGCTATCCAACGAACTTCTTCCTCATCCCATCTTTCACTATCAGACCTCAGACAACATCATGACGACAAGCAGAGAGCTGATCTCGGCAGAGCAGGTCAAGAAGAACGCCTTCGACCATGCCCTGCATGGAGGCTCCGGCAAGACCCAAGGTGGCATCCGGTCCATGATGGGCAAGGACAACGCCGCGCATGCCGCTGCTGTTGACGAGTACTTCCAACACTGGGACGGCAAGAACGCCGAAGACGAGACGGACGAGATCAGACAGGCTCGTACAGCAGACTACGCAAGTCTCACTAGACAGTAAGGCTCACCCACAACCACCAGCTCTCGAGCTCTCCCGTGAACTGTCAACTAATTTCCTTGTCCAGATACTACAACCTTGCTACAGACCTATATGAGTACGCCTGGGGTGCCTCATTCCACTTCTGTCGGTTCGCATACGGCGAGGCGTTTTCTCGCGCCATTGCCCGCCACGAGCACTACCTTGCGCACAACATGGGACTCAAGGGTGGCATGAAGGTTCTCGACGTGGGTTGTGGTGTTGGCGGGCCGGCTCGTGAGATGGTCAAGTTCACCGGCTGCCACGTGACTGGTCTGAACATCAACCAGTACCAAGTACAGCGGGCGACAAACTATGCTGCCAAGGAGGGCCTGTCTCACAAGCTTGACTTTGTTCAAGGCGACTTCATGGTACGTGGGACCTAAGACGAGGTGGCCCAAGGGGCTCCAAAATCACACTTCTCAGTGGTTCAGTGATACTAATGAACCCATCTTACGTACAGAACATCCCATTCCCGGATAACTCTTTCGATGCAGTCTACGCTATCGAGGCCACGGTGCATGCACCATCATTAGAGGGCGTGTACAAGGAGATCTTCCGCGTCCTGAAGCCCGGCGGTGTGTTTGGTGTCTACGAGTGGCTCATGACGGAGGAGTTCAACAACGACGACCTCGAGCACCGTCGCATCCGCCTGCACATTGAAGAGGGCGACGGCATTGCGCAGATGTTCAAGATCTCAGACGGCCTCGCCGCGATCAAGGCAGCCGGGTTCGATCTCGAAATGCACCACGACCTGGCGGCAGACGATGATGGCCCGGCGCCGTGGTACTGGCCCCTCGACAGCGACCTCCGTTACGCCCAAACACTGTGGGATGCGCTGACGGTCCTGAGGATGAACAAGTGGGGTCGAGTGGTCGCGCACAACTTCTTCAGCGTTCTCGAGACTATCCGCGTCATTCCGGCCGGCACTAGAAAGACGGCGGAGAGTCTGGGCAAAGCGGCTGATGCGCTTGTAGAGGGTGGTAAGAAGAAGTTGTTCACGCCAATGTACCTCATGGTTGGGAGGAAACCTGCGGCCTAAGGTGAAGATCGGGGTGCTGTGGAAAAGGGAAGAGCGAGACTGGGCTTTCGTCTTTCTGAAAGCCCGTAGAAATAATGTTAGCGACGTAATAGATTTTAATGACATACAAGGAAATCTTGAGCTCATCCCTGTCGGGGTACTACTGGTGGTTTAGCTAGGGATGGGACGCTGGAGAGAGTTGTAACGGGATCGAATTGCCTAATGAAAAAGAAGGGGACCAAGAGGTAGCCTGTAGACGTTATTCATGATCGCCTTTCTGTTAGCTATGAGCCACGTAGTTCCCCTGATATAGACGGGTCCCTGTCGATCTAGTTCCAACCCCGCTCTCTCCGGTAATTGCGTCTTCGTCTTGGATCCTTTTCCGTCGCTGGTGTAGACGTCAATAGGGACGACAAAGTTCAATCTCGGAAATGCGTTGGCAGAGCCCAGAGCCAAGTTGGAGAAAGTCGTACGTTCTAGAGGTTCTAGCAAAACTTTCCCCACGTGACGTTCAGCAACGATTGCGGTTTCAGGGAAGATAATCCCGAGCCTGGTTCTCCGAGTCGATTTTAGGGTTGTTGTAGGCATTTGGAACTTCGTAATTCCCTCCCATGCGACCGACGGATGCCTGTGTAGGAAAGGCAGCGTAGAGATGAAGTTTATACTAGCAATTACTGCCCAGTATTATCGCAATATGCGGAAAGGATAAAGAAGGCTCTAAGATATCTTCCTTCGAAGTTGCAGCTTCGTAAACCTGCCATGATCGCTAAGTTCCACAAGATCCGCTTCAGTGACCATTTTGGTAGCGGGAGACGGGGCATGGTCCGGATATTCCATCATGCTAGCTATAAAGAATATTCGGAGCGAAGGATTTTAAGCCTGTGTCCCTCGGTCGGGCAAGCGCGTAGTCGATGGTGGCACAAGACTGCGGGTAAATCTTTGAGCTAGTCTAGCATTGGCAGACCTCTCGGGTTGTTTTGTTGAGGGGAATTAATCGCAATCACTGAGATCACGCCACATTGGCCTCACATGAGCAGAAAATGTCCAATTCCGTCGCATGAAATGTGGATGGACCTAGCGATTAAAGATCTTCACCAAGCGAACGAGTAGAGGCTTCAGGGTTAAGCCAGCTGAACTCTAACTAGCGCCATGGTTTCAGTCCTCCCTGCTCAGAACGTCCATCATCGTGGATCAATGAAGAGACTGAGCTACTCCTGGTCAAGTTCATGGAACGAATGCTACCGCCGCAAATACGACATCATCCCACTACTCCTAGCATACCACGCTACGAGAAATGCGTTGGGGCTGCGTACAATCAGGTACTCTCATAGTTGGTTGACACTTCCTTGTACCAACTACAGTTTCCATGGCTTGAGGGGAGTAAAGAAGCTCGATAACATTTGCGTGGCAGCTCAATAGTACTCATCGCAAATGACAATGTGCAACATCAGTTACTGCTTCAAGGTGTAATATGATAGCTCAACTTCCAATTTGACTGTGATAAAGGGAAAATGCATAGAATGTGGGAAACACCCACGTGCCTGATAAGCTTCTTGTTACGTATGAGGCCCACACGCAAAACAAAGACCTTGGACATTTGATCAGACATGTTGTATTTGAAAGAGAGTGTCCATAAGTAAAGAGAGCATCTAGTCCTAAAAGCTGACAAATTCATGCCTTCCGGGATTTCTCAGCCCTCCAACTCTCATCAGTCTCTGCCCCCCAGGATGTTTCCACGTTCATTCATGGATGGCTGCCGAGCCTCGGAGACATCCAAATCCAGGGCCAGGCATCAATCATCCCACTCCATCGCATTTTTCTCGAGAACTCGGGGGCGCTGGATCCCTCTGAAGCATGTCCAGTTAGCACACATTCCCACCAAGAGATCGTAGAACCAAAGTCTCACGCAAATTCCTCTTCATCGACATCACGCCTCCCATTCTTGCTGTTCGGACGCGTTCGCGCCGGGCGCGTTCGCGAAGGCCGGATTCGATTCGGATTCGACTCCATAATCGGGTCTCCCCCACCCCGCCCGCCTCCGCCTCCGCCGCCGCGCCCACCCCCGCGGCCCCCCCTGCCTCTGAACATGCCCATCATGAAGGGTGGTGGCGGATTCAGAATCGGAGGAGCCATGGGCACTCCAAACGCCCCGCCGCCCATCACTCCGCCGACGGCCATGATCGGCTGCCGGTTGCGGCCCCTGGGCGGAGAGCAATCGCTGCACATGCCGGCGTTCTGCGCGAGAGCCGCCGTGGGGAGCAACAAAAGGATGAGGGTACGCATTTCGAGTATTGCAAGTAAGTCAAGATCACTGGTGCTTTCCTGAGTTATTGAGCAAATTCCTTTGAAGATGTTGTGATGTTCTTCGCTTGAATAAACAGTTGCTACCTGGGAACAGCCCCTAGCCGCGTTGATATTCCTAACGGGTTTTCGTCAGGTTCAATTAGGAAATTACAAACCGAGAGGCTATGTGAAAGGTTCAACTAAAAGTCAACTGTTGATGGCATGTAGCAGAGTTTGGTCCGGATACGTGATAATTACAAAGAGTTCTGCAAAGTATATTCACTAAGCCCCGATAGAAAGGTTTCGATAGGATGTGAACATCCCGAACTTTTGAAGGGATATCTACTCCCCCTCCTCAAATCGAGTTTGGCACTCAGGTTTGCCCAACTTGCCCACAGGCCAACATCGCAATGCTCATCGTGCTCCTACCATCTTCAGCCTCCACCCTTGATCTCCCCAAAAATGCATCCAACGAAAACCCTCGGCGCGTTGTTCTACGCTAGATTAGCGTTCTGTTTTGATCTATCTACCCTTTACACCCCTATAAGCAGCCACAGTGCTCATACACTCGTACTCAATGTCAACGACACTGCGCTATGCCCTCTCACTCACGGACGACCCGAGATCTGTCTTTCCACGCCCCAGAACACCACCTTGTCTAATCAATGGTCCACATGCATCTGGTCAGACAACCACTCGAAAGAATACTGGATCTTCGCAAACCCGCAATTCGATAACGGAAAGGGAATCACCGTGATAACAACCCCCGAGCGCATCCTCCACAACGCCAAATCTATCGCCTCGGTGCCAGATCACCACCCCAGCCTCCCGCGGGAGCCGTTATTCAGAACGTCGCCAAGTGGAAGCAAAGGGCGGGGTATATTTGCAACCAGACACATACCCGCAGGCAGCCTCATCACCAAGGAGGCCCCAATCATATTTCTGGACCGCAACTGGGTCGAAGACATCTCGTCCGAAGAAGCGCGAACGTCACTCCAGGCGTTGGCTATTGAGAAGCTACCGAGAACCACACGCCAAACGGTTAAGGAGCTTTACATTAGCAGTTTTGCAAAGGGTTTAAAGCAAAAGATCTGGACGAATGGCTACGGCGTCTCTGGCGGACCCGCAGAGGACTGGCCGGGTTTGGAAGACGAATTGGACCTCGGCATGATTGCGGTGCATGCAAACATATCTGTGAGTTCTCAAGGCGCGTCGCACAAAATCTTGATGAACTGACAGCATGGCAGAAAATCAACCACAGCTGTCGCTCCAACGCAGCGTCGCAATGGGACTAGGACTTGCTTGCACACAGGCTGTGGGCAGTCCGCGACATTGCCGCTGGCGAGGAGATCACCATATCCTACTTCGACCCTATCCAGACCCTCCGCGAGCGACAACGCTACGCAAAAGAGACTCTTGGCTTCGAATGCACTTGCAGCCACTGCCAAGCCGCTCCCAAGTTCGCAGAACTATCAGACGACCGCATCAACGAAATTCACCTACTACAAGGGTACCTAGAAACCCGCGAAATCGCCCCGGCCGAGCCCACAGCAATGGCCGAGCTGCTAATCAACCTATACAAGCAGGAGGGGTTGGACTCTTACCTTTGCAAGGCATACGCCATCGCGGCGCGCGAGTGGAATGGCGCGGGGTACGAGTACCAAGCACGCTCATGGGCCTATCAAAGTGTTAAGGCCGGTCTTGTAGCTGGTTCGGGAACCGGAATGGAGGAGTATATGATGGACATGGAGTCGTTGCTTGATGGGGCGAGGAAGCATTGGTCTTGGAGATATCGCCAACATTTCTAGGGAAATAATTATACATATCTCTAGACCTTTTCGATCATTCGATGCTGTCATAATTCTTTCCCATTTCGATCCTGACACAAACCCTTCAGATGCAGTAACAGTGGTTGATTTTGACTAATGATAGGATGATCGCGAGCATGAGGCTGCTTCGGATGCCAAGGGGTGCATGATCAACTTGAATCTGGTAGTTACGCAGGCCTGTTTGACTGCGATACTGAGCTTTGTCACCGTTGCCGTTGGTTCAATTTACGTATTACGGTGACATCAATCCGCCTGTCGGGGAGTAATGGAAGAGCAAGTCATGCCAGGGGCGATTGGTCTCAACTCTCTATCCAAGGCCAAGTTGTGGCTGAAACGTTAGCTTGATTAGTGGCTGCAAGGATCGCACAATGGCAAGACCGTTTTCTTCTTGGATTCAGTAATTTACAGCGACCAAATCAGAAAAATCAGTTGATGAAATCACGTTGCTAATTATTCATCTTTCCCGCGCTGCTCATACCTGCTGTTGTTCCAGCTCTTCAAGCCAAAGGATGGACGCCCAAAAAGGTGCAGGCTTGCCTCCCGGCTTTCTCTTGACCTCATTATGTACTGGAAGCTCTGCCCCTCCGGAATGGAATGATCATGTTAAGGGAGACGCCGATCTTGAGCCAAAGTAGGCTGAGAAAAATGGGACGATGTGCATCGCGGTGCGCCTCCAAGTATCCAAGTATGTTGTATGGGTTCCCTAAGCGCTCCAATGCACCTTCGCGCTTGTAGAGTCTTTTGACTGGCGGACTGATCAGCAGCTGAAAATCCGAGGCCATTCCTGACCATCTGCCAAGAAAACCTGCAGCTGCCAGAGTTCAGCTCAACAAAAAATTGATCGCCAACAAGATTGTTTATAAGCCAGCATCATGCCTTCTTCACCAGGTGCTTTCCGCTTCTCTGACTAAATGCATGCACGATTTTTTCGCCTTTGTAACTTTATTCACCCTTTTGTCATCATGAAGCGAGTTCTGATTCGCCTTCTTGGCTTGGCATCAATAGTCGTTGGCATCGTCGTCACACCCGGGGGAACGGACTATAACGTGATCAAGAACGCATTAACCGCTGCCGCTGTGAAGGACGACAGACTGACACCAGTCGACTCTTCGCTTATTGCTCCCACTAAACGGCGAGCCGCTGACCCCGTGGAAGTCTGGTCAGCTGTAGGCACATTTACCAATGGGCCTGCGGGTTTGGAGACGGGTGTCATTCTCACAACCGGACAGGCGGCATCAGCGGCCCCCGGTGTCACTCTCGATGGCTCCTGGGGCTACGGCCAAGACCGGATGGTGCTTTGTCCTGTTGCACCATCGTGCGAATATTCCATTCTCCGCATGAACATCACGGCTCAGTCTGGAGTTCGGGCTCTTCGAGTGAACTATCTCTTTGCAGAAGAGTAAGTAGATATCTTGTACGCCAAAGCCGAGGTATGGCATGCTAAAACAATCCAAAGCGGTCGTCGCTTCCAGCTTGATGCGGCACAGCTACTTACAGCAGGTAAAAATCCGGTGCCGGAGAGCGTGGTGGTCGCCAAGCGCGATCCGCGAATGAAGCCTGGCGTGCCAGGAGAGCAGCTTGGATTGTCTTACAAGATAACATCTGGAGTTTTCAGCTTCGATGTTGCGCTGGGGTTGGGAAAACAGGACTTGACTTTCATTGTGTGCGACAGAGGCGATAGCGCTGGAGATTCAGCCGTGATGTTCAATATTGAGGGATTATCATGATGCCCGACTCAATGTCAAGATGGTTTTGAAGCAGGAACAGATTTGAATCGAGTAGTACGTCAATGAACCCGGAGCAAATGCTATAGATACTATTCATAGTATAAAAAGACTACATTGGCGATAGAGACCACATGGATGTAAATGTGCCTAGATTCCGAACTTGGCTGTGGACAATGACGAGCTAAAATTTGTTTGGAAGGAACACACAATATAGATTCGCATTTTTTCCAATTGCCATTTCAAAATTGATACAAGGGCAGCTTAGGTCAGGGCGAGTAGTCTCACCACCCTCTCCTGCGGTGTACAAGGCCAAGACGTGGCTGAAACCTTAGCTCAATCAGTGGCTGAAAAGATCGCACAACGGCATAACCGTTGACCTGTTGACCTCAGTGAAACGGAAGCCATTTTAGTCAATGAAATTCCGCGGGCCGTATCCTATTCCTAGATTCTGAGATGTTGGATGCTTGTCGTTTCTAAAGTCGAATTACGGGAGCTTATGTAGGTGCAGGCTCGTCTCTAGGAAACAGCATTCAAATCTAGCCTACCCCTAACTTCAGGGAAATGTGAGACTTTTGATCCCTTACGATCGCTGCTAAACTGACTAACTGGCCCTGTGGGGCCCGCCTTCTTCCTGAACGTGACATACTTCGAGGACACCAGGTGATCTCGAATCGGCTCATGCTCCGCAGCGTAATTTCACAGCACAGCAATAGGCTGAGAGGCTAGAAACGGTCAGAAATGTACAGTAGAACAAGAATAGCAGAATCTTCATAGCTAGCAAATTGGCATCGTCTCCTGACAACATACAGAAAGCAGGGGCAGGGGAGAAACTTCCAGCTTAGATAAGAATGCCAAGATGAATTTTGACACACTCTCGGCCTTATAGAAACACTGTGGCGGGGACCGTCACGCTGTGCGAGCTCAATTCCCATAGTCACAAATTGATTGGCTACAAAGCTAATGCCTGCCGCCCCTAGAAATGCAATCCTAATTCGCTAGCCTAAAGAAGTGCTGAACATGGACTTCGGAAAACACGTGATGGATAATGTGCGGGGATATCGGCACAATCTCTCACATCTTCACAATCGTTATAACGTGGAACTTCAAAGCCTTAATACCAGAAAAGGTCGCATTCCAAAACTCTGCTGAATATGGAGTCTTACGAGGAATTCTCCCTCGCCAAAGTATGCTCGACATGTCAGCAGGTCCTTCAGGCAACATCTTACGAGATAGATACGGACGAAATCGAGTATCAAACCTTTGGGGAATTTCGCGACGCTTTATCAGGCGGATGCATTATTTGCCTTCAACTATCATCTCGTATCAAAGCATTTGAGACTCTGAATGAGGCCTCATGGTGCAGACCAACGTTCAAAACGCAAGAATTTAATATCAGAGGAAGGCGTCATTTTTCGTTGGTAGCTTCAGGGGGTGTTCTGGACAAGGACGAATGTTTCTGGGACCTATTTCCACTAAGTGGTATGTCATCCCTCGATACCCTCTCTTAACCGTTTACCAGGCAAATATTGACATTTACAGATCATCCTTACGGTCCGAACCTTATCCCTTCAAGTAGGATTGAAAGACATACTTCATCAATGTCTAGCCTGAACCTCGCTCTAACCTGGTTTAGGCGGTGTCTTGACAATCACCAAAGATGCAAAACATTGACTCGATTGAATCCTCAATGGATGCCCACCCGCCTTGTAGATATAGGACTAGAAGACACCCACCAATGGAGGCTGATTGAAACAAGGCGAGAACTGCAGGCAGGCAATCCTTCACCTTACATGACTCTGAGCTATCGTTGGGGCTCTCATCCCACGATACTGCTGAAATCGTCGACTCTTGAATCATTCCACTCTGGCAATCCTATTGAACAACTACCTTTGACGTTTCGTGACGCTATTCGTGTTGTTCGCCACTTTGGAATGCGCTACCTTTGGATCGACAGTTTGTGCATCATACAAGACTGTGTTGCCGATTGGAAAGCCGAGGCTCCAATGATGCGGGATGTTTACGCCAACTCAATATGCAATATCGCAGCGTCCGCTTCATTTGATCCAGACGATGGATTGTTCGTCGGACGGGATCCTACGGAAATTGGACCGTGGGTCGTCGAATCGACTTTGACGGCTGGCGCTCTAGAAAAACACTTCATCATTGATATTGAATACTGGGATTCGCGACTTGAGAAAGGGAGCCTTCACGACCGTGGTTGGGTATTTCAGGAACTGTCCCTTGCACCGCGTGTGCTGTACTTCACAAGGGACCAGCTCATGTGGGCGTGTACCGAGACGCACGGATGCGAAGCATTTCCCGACGGGATGTTCAGCACTCCACCAAAATTCGATATTGAGAAGGCTTTTCAAGCAGAGTTCGCGAAGTTCGAAACCGGAGATTTGAGCAGTGCTTCGGGTGTCTGGATGGACTTAATCTACGACTATACAAGGTGCAAACTTACGAAACCCGAAGATCGTCTTTATGCTGTTGCTGGCATTGCAAAACTCTTTCAACAGATGACTGGAGATAGGTATCTGGCGGGCCTTTGGCAAAAAGATTTGCTACATCAACTTGGCTGGTCGGCGCATTTCCCGGCGCCGAAATTAGTCGAAAGCTACAGGGCGCCGTCTTGGTCTTGGGCATCCACTGATGGAATGGTAAACCCGAATCCGTTGTTCAACATGGAGTCTTTCGTTGAGATCATCGACGTGGATGTTCAGTCGAGAGGCGTCGACGTAACTCTCGATGCCGCCCACGGATACCTGAAATTGCGCTGCCCCCTTTTCACCGCCTCTTACTTCCGCGCAACCAAAGACGAACAGCTTATCCTTGAACTCAGAGGCATATCGGCTCAACTTTTGACAAATTGCAATTATATGCAGGACACACAAGAGGATCAGAGTCTTGTAGGTAATGGGACGGTTGACTTCATCGTCTACGGTCATGGAGGAGATCCAATCGTTAGCTTCATTGCATGCATTGTGGTTGAGCGTACACGACAGGCCGAAGATGAGTTCAAAAGAATTGGGTTGTTAGAAATCAGAGGCACTGAGAATGTTACAATTGCCATGGACATCGTTGGGTCCGGAAAAGCTGGGAACAAGGTTATTACCCTTGTTTAAGAAATACGAAGCCAGTTTTTGTCGAGTCGAGAACTGACTGAAACGTATTGGTTAACCAAAGAGAATTTCACGGCGTAAAGTTTCATGCAGATAAGATAGTTTGCGGCATCTGCATGAGATGAAGCTCTCCTTTTACACCTTTGGACTTGGTCGAGCGTCAGATTGCCATATGTACTTAGTTCTATCAAGATGGAACAAACTGGTCAGGGGTATCAAACACAACAACCGGGTCCGTTTTGTCGATTTGGTAGGAGGCAAGGAGGCAGCGCACGATAGAACTATAAAATAATGTTAGGAGATGAGGTGGACAAACAAACAATCACCCACTGGCAACCGGGACATATCCCTTCCTTACCACCACGAAATGACTGCCGCCCACCTTTCGAAACCTCAGCCGCCCCTGAGTCTGCTTGAGTGTTGGTAGAACAGCTCTAATCCTCAGCATCCTCAACCCAGGGAATGGGACCACCCCATCTTCACTCATCCCCTCCAACTCATCAAACAAATCCAGCTGATCAACCCGATACACCTCCTCCTTCTCCCCATCATACACCCCCTCAAACCCCCCATCATCCAGATCACACATCTCAACCGTCAGCACCCTCATCCCCGGAAACTCCTTCAAAAGCCCAAACACATATCTCCACGGGCCCTTCCTCCCACTGTCAAAGAACCCATACATCAGCTCCACCACAACCTCCGCGACCCTGGCCCTCAACCCCTCCGGCATAACCCACTCCCGAGACTCGCGCTGCACCACCGCCCCGGCCTCCCTACAGTCCTTCAAGAACCTGTGCGCAGCCCACATCGTGCCCCCGTCCCAGAGCAACCACACCGCGTCCCTCGCCGGGCTGAACGGGAACCCCAGCGGGTCAGGCACCCCGTACGCAGCGCACGCCAGCCGCCGCGTCTCCGCGCTGACGGCGTACAGCACCAGGTCGCGCCAGGCCCTGATCGTGTTTTGAGAGAAGCGCGCCTGCGGCCCGTGGTTCCATTCAAAGTCCACCCTGACGAACGCCTCGATTCTCACGGGGGGCACGCTCGCGAGCAGGATCTTGTCGCGCAGCTCCTTGGGGAGGTGGGCGAAGAGGTGGAATGTGGGCGGCGGCGGCGGCGGTAGTAGCGTGTCCACCTCTCCGTCCGCCGACGGAGGAGGCCCCTTCTCTGTATGCCCCGTGGTGTTGCTGTCGCCGGTGGGTAGGTTCACGCCCTCCGGGCAGGATGGGTCGTACTCAACCTGCGCGTATCTGTCCGGATGGTGGGGGACGCAGCGCATGTGCTTCCGGGCGCGCAGGACGATGCCATGCCAATCTTCGCGGTTGTCTCTGTCGATGAGGATGTCCAAGTCGCCTTTGGGCTGAGGTACCTTTCCGGAAGAAGCCGAGCAGCGGCGCGGAGGAGGAGACATGAGTCGTTCTTGGCGGTCGGACGATGCCATTTCCAGGCAAGCGTTGGCGTTTGTGAGGAGAGGAGCGCTTGGTGCTGACGAGAGAGTTTGATATCGTCGGCGCGTGGCTTGAGAGGCGTCGCCCCTTTTTTGCCTCTTTGAGAGATGTGTCGTGAGTCGTTGAGTAATGTCAGGAACCGTTTCTTGGGGCTCCCACGAAGCCGTAAGAGGCGGAGAGCCGTTAGGCAACGGGCATCACCTCCGACGACATAATGATTCGGTTGTGGGTCGAAGGATGCGCCAAGGATCTCTTTTCTTTCGCGGGTGCCTGTCCAACTCTGCTGATCAAACCCCATCTCATCCTACCATCGTAGGAAACATAAGCAATCCCCCTGATCTCTCGTAAGCATCTTGAACGACCCGTTGGTTCATCGGATAAGGTACCCAAAAGATCTCAATCCCAACTGCCGTACGCTCAGATTTCTCTCCTCCTTCAGCCCTCCCCCTCGCTTAAAATCTCCCGTCATCAAGGCGTTCCCCCAATCCGTGCAGCGTGCCCCCTTTCAGCCCAACGTCCAAGCAGGAAGAAAACGTGGAGGAGGACCCCTTTTGGGCGAGAGATAAGCCTAGCCTGGCCCATGGATGTGTTCTGGTGCGTGTTCTTCCACGCTTATGTCACGCAGGGCGCGCAAATCTGAGCACCGCCAGGGCTCATGCGAGGTAAACCAGAGGGTCGGGACGGTCTGTGGTTTCTTCGCTGCGTGGCCAGCCCAGTCTGGACCAGGCCATCGTCCATGACAGCTTTTGATTGGCAGAGGAGCGAGAAAAAAGCCTAGACCGTTTGCTTCCAATCTGGCCTCCCTTCGAGCACAATGTTCTGGCTGGGAGACATCGTTACCCCGGTGCAGCGATGCAGTTCTCCAGCCGTCGGCCGAGTTCGCGCATCGCGCTGCATATCCCTCCCACGCGGGACGCGAGAAATGCCGGTCTGACTCTCCAATAGAACATGCATTCATTCAGGTTGCCTGGTTGGTCCCAGTTGGGTTATCCCTTGCTCTGCGCAGTTCCTCCGCTTCCAGAAGAAGACGAACCGTTTCATGCCCGCTTCTCAGCTGCCCAGTCGTTCAGCCGCGCTGCCGCCAAGACAACGCCGGAAAAGCCGTTCCAGCCAAATTTGAGATCTCGTTTCTCCAGTAAGACATTCGCGACCCAAAAGATCAGGGAACACCCCCTCCTCCTCATCCCTTCTGCATCACTCTCAAAATACTTCGGGCAAACGAGGCCACTTCCTGGCCCGAACAGGTTCCGAATCCGATCAGAAACTCTTAAAGGGTCTTGCCTGCAAGACCAAACCACAGACCGGGGTACCGTAGCCAAAACGTGCCCGCTGCTGTCGCCCTGCCTTCCCAGCGTCCCACGTGCATATGCCTGCTCCTGCCCCTCTCCCAAAAACCCGGCAACGAACCTCGGAGATTGAGGCTGAACGCAGGGAGAGCTTGCCGACCCTGTGTTGCGCTGCGCTCTTCCTCTTCAGCTGATGAAGCAAATATCGCCACTCGGACGATTTCGACCGTGGTGCCAGCCAGCACCAGCCAGCGTGCCAGCCTAGCCGACCAACACCCGTGGCCTGGGCTGGAGGCAACAGGAGGATTGGATTGCAGGAATGCGGAGGAGGGTCCGTCGCTCTGCTTAATCTCGGGGCTGACACGCACTTGGGTTAGATTCGTAGGGCGTGTATGTAAGTACGCTAAATTTCCAGAAAAGAAGTATCTATCGTGAGGCGGATGAGGCGGACGAGGAACGCATGCACTCAGACCAAGGAGATGAAAAAGTGTAATCTGTACTCTGATTTTGATTTTTTTACAATCTCTTTTGTTGCAGGCATTGATGCCCAAAACTATGTACAAGAATTTAGAAAAAGTGTTGCGGATTTTACCGCTGGGTATCCAAGGTTTCCAATGCTCCTCCCAAAAATGTTCATGCCCATTCTTTGCAGGTCTGTCTTCTGCATTGATCATCTTTTGACGCGCCGTAATCCCGAATCCGTCCCATGTAACCGTGCGGCCACGAAAAAAAAGAAAAACGCTCCCCTCATAATCATAATAATGTGTGTGGTGTGTCGGCCGTTAGAATCCCTATGCATTGGCGGCAACAATGCCCGACCTCAATGCACCAGTCGATGCCTTCTCCTTCAGTTCGCCGGATACCGTCGCGACCACCGGGCGACGGAACCGCAGCTCCAGGAAGTGCCCCACCACGCTCCTGATCTGCTCCTCGAAGCCTTGCAGCTTGAAGCCGAAGATCTCCTCGGTGGCGGACGCGTCGAACTCGATGGGCGTGGTGCCCACGGAGCCGCTGCTGCTGATGAGCTTGCGCTGCACCGCCTCGGGGAAGCTGCGCTTCGCGATGAGCTTGGCGTCGTTCCACCGCGCCTTGGTGCTGAGGATGTAGCTCCTGTTGCCAGGGATGGTGGGCAGTAGGGCCTGGACGTGTGCGCGGGCGACGTCGTCAACGTGGACGGTCGCGCCGGCGAAGGCGCAGCCCCACTTCTTGCCGAGGAGCGTGGCGAGGACGACGGCGTTGGTGCCCTTGATCGCCTCTGAGGTGTTCGTTGCGACGTCGTTGCGGCCGAGGACGAAGGATGGGTGGAAGTGCACGACGTCGAAGTTGGGCTTCTCCCGCGCGAGCCACGCCTCGGCGCCGAGCAGCGCGGCGACCTTGCTTGCTGCGTAGGCGGCGAACTCGCTCTCGTACGGCTCGGGCTTGAAACCTGCTCTCTCTGTGGGCTGGACGGCCGTCTCACGCTTCTCGGCGCCCTCCATCTGCGCTACTGAGGTCAGGGCGACGATGGAGCTGGTGATAACGACGCGGCGGACGGTGCCTGCTCGCCTCGCGGCCTCGAGCATGCCGAGAGTGCCGCGCATGGCGGGCTGGATGAAGTACTCCTGGTGCTGCTCCGGCGGGACGGAGTCAGCCGTCGCCAGAGGCGAGGCGGAGTGGATAACGTAGGAGACGCCGCGGATGGCCTCGTCGTATGCGCCATCTGCGGTGATGTCGGGCACGATTGTGAAGTTGAGGCGGGCGCGGGGGAGGTTGAGGGCGAGAATTTGAGGGCGAGAGCGGATGAAGGCGGCCTTGGCCTCTGAGCGGACGGCGCAGCGGACGGTGTGGCCTGCACGCAGAGCGTGGAGGAGGACGCAGAAGCCAATATGGCCGGTTGCGCCTGTGATGAGCAGGAGCTCGTCTGGCAAGATGCACAGCATGATTGCTGTTGTTGTGTGCTGGTATATAAGTGGTTGGGTGTTTCGATGGTTGGGTTCCTTGAGACGACGGGAACTGGTGGAGGATGTCCGGTGAAGAGCGAGTACGACTGTGGTAATTGTACTCGAGTTGCCGGAAACGGGTGCTTGTTCAATGATACAGATCTCTCTGAGTTGGGAAACTGGTGCGAAAGTTGAGGGATGAGGGGGGGAGGGTCATATATCTACATTCAAGCAAAAAGGCGTTCCCACTACTTGCCTCCACGTCCCCTGGCTATGCCCAGGCTCCCCTCCCTCGGGACGTACCTCAGATAGACGAACGCCACGCGCATGGGGGTGAGACCAACGAAGACCCCAGTTCGTCCCAGGAAGCATTCCATGTGCAAAGTCTAGCAGCCTGGAGACGGAGGCGAGGCCGAAAGAGGAGGTGGTGGCTTCTCCGTGCTTGCGCGGTGCTAGCGTCAGCCAACCTGCTGAGTGTTGTTGTCGAATTGCTTAGTGGCTATGATGAGCTCGTTCGGATTGCTAGCCACACGTCCATGACCGCGCACTCATTTGCCAGCAGAAGAAGGTTACTGCACAGCACATGTAGGGCTGGCGCGTCTCCCCGCCAAGCCAGAGGTCACGCAGCTTCACGCAGTGCGCAGGACAGTTAACTGCTTCGGCTAGCCGCACCAACAAATGTACCCGAGTGGACGAGCCGGGTACTACGCAGTATGTCGTGGCACCCAGCGAGCCGCACTGACGGAAGTGTCCAGCATCATCCCTCCTCCGCCAGCACCAGGTCTGCGGGGTGAACTCGGCCAAGAGCCCCCAATGGGAGCAGCACTGGACAAGGTCACTTGATGAAGAAGAAAAAGGGGGGCGCGGCATAGCCTAGCCAAGCAACCAAGCCTGCACATCCCAGGGGGGCAGTGAAGGGAGGCAAGAACTCACAAAACACTTTCCACCCGCACTTTGATAAGTTCATGCAGACTCGTAACTGGGAGTTTAATGCCCAGCTGTTCGTGATTTTTTTTCCTCTGTCCTTCGGTTCGCTCTTGATTGAACATGGTCGCACGCCGTAAAGTTGGAGCTACCAGGTCTAGTCTGGTATCAGAGTAGCTCGACCAAGGGAATGTGCAGAGACCATGGCCAGACGCCAGCCATCAAGCCAAGCTGAATGACTTAGCTCGTCCATTGGCGCACCCAGCTGGACCAGTGGGTATCCAAGTGCTCACCACGCCAGACTCGAAGCGCGGCTTGCCGCAGTGTACAGCAGACGAAAGGGTGGCGGACCGTTTGATTGGCGATAACGGGCGGTCGAGACTCATCGCGCGGCAGGCTGGAGCTGAGCTCTTCGTCCTTTCTTCTGGACCCCATCGGCCGCGCGCATTCCCAACAGCCAGAGTTGAGATGTTTGTCGTGGCAACAACAGTGACTCAAAAGTGAATTGATTTTCTTCTGTCACATTCCCAGCTGTTCTGTAACCGAGCCCCCGGGACCGTCAATAGTATCCCATAGCCGACGGTGTTGGTGCCTTGATTGAGACAGACTGGGACACTTGGTTGACGCCATTCATTTCCGGCCCTCGGTAGTCCCTCGATGCTCCTGACTGCCAGCCCCTCCACCCGCAGCCTTCAGTAACCGTCGACACCGGGAGATCGGCGGTGTGCCACCAACACAAGGATTCGCTACCGACTGTCTGGGCCGCCAGAAAACGCCCCCTGCCCTTCCACTGCATGTCTTCCCCCTCACGTCCTCAATCTCTCACCACAGCGTCGCACTGGAGTGGGGGATTGGAAGGATGGAATCGTTGCAACAAAGCGGCAAGCCAGTCAGCGAAGGCCTAGACCTTTGCGAGTGTGAATTGTTGGCTGCCTTGATACCCACGAGCTGCCAGGATCGTTGGGTGAGACAGCAGCGCGCCACCTCGTCTCATCATCAACGCCTCTTGGGCAGATGAGAGGAGAAGAAAAAAAGTGCGCGAGCACAACATTGCACATGCACAGCACAGCACAACAGAGTCCCCGCGGAAACCACACAGCGCCTGGAGATGTCACGCTTGTCAGCCGACCGTCCGCGGGGTGGAAAACGGTCCAGAAGGCAGCATAGGACCAAGCCGTGGCACGGGCCCCTGCCCCATGGCCACTTGGGCTGGCGCTCAGCGACTGGTCCATCTGTGCTCGTACATAAGCCTCCGTCTCAACCTGTTTGAGTTGTATTAAGGCCCGGAGTCAGACAATGAGGGGAAAGGCAGTCCAGAAAACCCCTCAGGGCCTGTTGGACCAACAGCAACCGATCGTCGTCAAGTGCGACTGTGACACACGGAAAAACAAGCGTGCACGCAGCCGGTCAATCAACCAGTCGCTGTCTCGAAATGTCTATTCGCTGGCTCGCTGTTTGGTGTGGGATGAGTAGGGGGCACGAAGGATCCCGAGCACATCGCGACTCATGCGTCTTTTCGGACCGCGGAACCAGACGATGCAGTCCCGCCGAGATGACATGGTCGTGGTGAAGATCATCACAGCTGTGAACGGCTGCGTCCGAATATGCAGATCAGACTGCAAGGCGATGCCAGCTCCGACGTGCTTCCTTATCTCTTCACAGCTTGCGATCCATGCAGCCGCGATCCGAGCGCCGTCTAATGCAGTCGAAAGGGATGAAGCACCGCGGGAGGATTGGCGAGAAATAAGGGTCTCGCGGAAGAAAGTTGACGATACCTAGGACGATTCTCAGCTCGTTTTTAGCCGTGCCGTATTTTGCTTCTCCCCTCCAGTTCAAACACTATGTTGACTGTGATTCACCGCAGTTTGAGTCAGTGCCTGATCGACAAAACCAGGCCGCGCGTTAGAGGCTCACCAATCGCACAAGATGCGTGGCGAAGAGATTGGCAAAGGGTCCCAGACAAGATTTGGAGACGGTCTTCTGATCGTCGCGTCGAAGCAGCGCCGGCGCCGTCCCGCCAAGAGGAGCCCCCCCCCCCCCCCCCCCCCCCAAGAGAACGGACCGACATGAGGCATGCCGAGAGAGCTCCGCCCAACGGCCGGGGGTGGATCCCGTCCCGTCCGCTGCATCAGCCGGATTCGTCCGTTCATCCCGGAGGCGAAAAAGCCGTGCGACGGCGGAAGAAGCCGCGATACATCATCTGAAGATGTTGGCATTCGAGTAAGATTCATCCGCCGAAAGGCTCGGCTCACATTGAGATACTCGGGACCGAATGCTAATGGAGGTAGATTGACATCATCGCTGTGGCTGAGCTTTTGAGGGTATTGTCGTTTGCCCCTCACGTCGACCATGACCAGTCGAGGTTTGATCGGACGACTATTTTTGGTCTGCGATAGTGACGCGTCGAGGTCTTCGAGCCGCGTTCGCCTCGAGCTCGTCGAACGGCATGTTCCGCGCCGTCGTCATTGATTTCGAGTAGTCTCTCGGGTACGCGGTCACCTCTGGGTATCCGCATGCACGTTGCGAATTGCCTCCCGTTGTCAAGATAACCAAGACCAACGCCGACGCCGTTTGTTGACGCGATCGACAATGTCTCCTTTCTCTGGCAAAGGGCAGTGAATGTCTTGCCGTGGATTGGCAGCCAAGCATCTTGGAGGATCGGTGCCAGTTCGAAACCTCCAGCAGAAAACTTCCGACGATCTGGCATCTGTGCTCCTGCCGATCACACAGATTTCTCCACTGCGTCGCGTGAAGTTGCGCCATTTTCACAAAAGTGAGTTTGGTTACGCTGCCAGATCATGGGCGCACTTTGACAAGCGCCACCTTGGCATTTGTTTTCGGGCAACAACATGGTCTTTCGGACCCGATCCTTCGAGTGTCAGTGTCCGGCGATCTCCCGCCCCCGGACGCCGACCCCGCCAACGGCTCCCGCGTTGTTGACGTGTCGAGGTGCCCTGAGCAGCAGGTCGACGGCGGTCTCGCGCCGAAACTTTGGCATAGCCACTGCCGTCGGAAGGCCCGATGATGAGGTGCAACAGCCGCTTCGTCACTTGCCACCTTTATCAAACGCTTCTGCCTGCCTCCGCCTCGAAGAAAAGAAAACCTTGAAACCAGCGGCCGAAATTTCGAGTATGCTTAGCAAGCATAGGAATGTCAATTGCTGCGCATGAATTCGGGTACACGTGATTGTCGTTGGAGCATCGATCATTTCTATCCGCGGTGTCGTTGGTGTTGTTGTTGTTGTGTCTTCGTCGTCGTCGTTGTCCTTTCAATTGTCCCAATCGTTGTCGCCACGGTGAACCCCGTCCTCCAAACCCCGTCCCTCATTCGGACAACAGATCTGCAGATGCCCATGACAGCCTTTTCGTAGCAGTAGGTTGTGTATTTGACCTGGCTGTAACTGAATTAGACGGTGGTTTTTCCAACATGGGGAGCAAACCACGTGCCAGATGAATCCCACGGGCAGAGCAGATCCGAGGTTACATTTGAGCGACATTTTGCATACAGCAGCGGTCTGGAACGGTCGATGGAAGACCCAGGCCCGAACCCCGACCCAGGTCCATCAGAGGAGGGACCGGGATCTCGCTGGTTGGTGGTTGGTGGCGGTCTGCGGAGTGCATTCCACCACTGGCGAGCCGGTCGCAACGGCACCTGGATCTGAAGCCTATCGTGAGGTCGTTGTCTGCACCACCCGCACAAGCGTGGTGGATGAAGCCGAGCCGCATCGCGTCACGATGGATAGGTTCCCTTTGCGGCGAGTCGTCGGATGACAAAGGGTCTGATTTGAGCAGGTGGACGGTTTCGGGATGACGGGTTTCTGACCAAATTATGACGCAAGCGGCAGGAAGCAACAGACAGACCGCCTTCCTCTGGTAGGGATTTCCCAAGCAAGAAGCTGGCACGTTGAGAGTGCACTGTGCGGGAGCGCTGTTTCCGTCAGGCGAAATCGAATTCTCAGGGCCTGAGTGACGGAAATCTGCCCCCCCCAAATCGCAACTTCCTGATGGCTTGACAGAATTTGCCACTTTCATCCGCACGGTGCTGGAATGGGTCAGGTACGTACTGGGGGCAGCTGCTTTCCCTGCGTGCCTGCCCTGCCTGCTCTCTCCCAAGCAGCAGGAATGGGAAGCTGCTGCTCACCTGCTCCACTTCCAGCTTCAGCAATCGGTGCAGCCAGCAATTGGATGCATTTTGCTTAATCTCGATCGTCATTGTCGAGGGTGAAAGATCGGAAATGGCCCACTGTCTTTCTGACTTGTCGCCAAAAAACCAAAAAACCGTCCGATAATTAATGCGAAAGCTGCCAAACCAACCTTTTTCGCCCCCGCCGTCCTGTGTGTGTGGCCTTGTGTCGTCCTGTATCTCGCCCTGCTCACAGGTTTTCCGAGCCTCTCAGCACGCCCAAACTCTCAGCCTGTGTCTCCAACATTTCCATCGCAATTCCCCAGCCTGTCGCGGGCTTTTTGGAAGGCTATCACCCCAAAGGAAAGGCCAGCTGAAGGTCGCGACAGGGTACCACCCGGCATTCCCAGCAGACGGTCTAGACCTGGCCATATCGGATTGTCCATCGCCCATCAACCATCGGCCACCGCACCAGCGACGACACGGCACACCCAAGACCGGCTCCCATGCCATTTTTCAATTTGCCATCCGAATCTCCAATTTTCCGACCCGCCATCGCGATTGTTTGCCGCGAAGCCTCCCCTCCCCCTCCCCTCCGACTCCTCGTTCTCGACCTCGCCTGAAGCACACCCCGCGATCCAGACCACGCCACCACATCACATACCTCACGCTGACCGACAACACGCTGCCGCCCGTCGTCTGCATCCCGCGCGTCAAACAATCTGCTACTGTCTCGACCATTTCATCATCCTGCATCGGTCCCACGCCCTTGCTGACTTGAGGCTCCAAGAGGGAGGGTCCAATCACCGTCTCCAACCATGGTCGGTGGCAAATCCTCCAAAGCCTCAATCGAGTCTGCCCGCGAGCGCGAAACCTTCAGGTCAGCACTCAACAACAACCTCATGCTTTGCTTTGTGAGCGCTATACTGATGTTGCCGCAGATACGATACCACCCTCATTGCCGCTACGCGCAAGAACGACCCTGCCAATCTCATCCCTCCGTCCGAGCTACGAGCTTCTTCTGATGCCTCCCTTACTGCCTTCGCCCAGCTGGGCGCATTACGCATGGGAGCCTCTCGCGCCTTGATTTCTCTCTTCGATAGCAAGTGCCAATACGTTGTCGCCGAAGCCACTCCTAATCTACTTTTGGCCCCAAATGCGACGCCAGACCCCGATGCTGGAGAGAAGCTATGGCTTTGCGGGACCGCTCTCCCTCGCGCCCACGGCTTATGCGAATCCGTACTCGTCGCACCCCGCGCCGCAGAACGTAAGGCACCTGCCGACGACGCCCTGCCTGTGTCCGTCATATCCGATCTCGCCAATGACCCCAGGTCATCAGAAAAGGCTCATTACAGGGAGTGGCCGCACCCTCGCTTCTATGCTGGAGTGCCCATTAAGTCGCGCAGAGGTGTCAGCATTGGCGTCTTCTCTGTATGGTCGGACGAGCCACGACAGGAGCTGGGCGCCAACTCGACTCAGCTTCTGAGGGGTTTGTCAAGAATGGTGACGGACCACCTGGATTACAAGCGTACCGTCCAGAGGCATCATAGGGCAGTCAGGATGCTTCGTGGCATCGGAAGCTTTGTCGAAGGCAAATCCACCATGTCAAAGCTAGGGCCTCAATCTCAACCCCACGATCAATCTATCGAAGGTGCCCTAAACCTGCATCAGCAGCGGCTCCAGAGAAAGGAAGAGGAAAGCAACGCCCACGATGACGAATCTACACCTGACTCCATCACACCCCCGACTCCAAGCCCGACGCAGTCCCCCTCCCTGTCACAGCACCGAGGCAATCGTCACCCGTCATCATCTTCGGATCTTTCGGTCGATAAGACACTGTCAATGACGGATAAGACGAGCCAAAACAGCCACGAGGAAGGCGTCACATACATCTTCTCCAAGGCCGCGAACATTATTCGTGAAAGTATTGAGGTCGAAGGTGCGCTATTCCTGGACGCTGCAATTGGCTCATTTGCCGGGTTGGCCACCAAAACAACATCTTCCGGAAGCTTCAGTTCTTCTTCAAGTAGTGATGAGCGCAATAGTAGACACCCTTCAAGACAGGCCAGCCTTACCAATGTGGTGGATGTTCCTTGCCGTATACTCGGCCACTCCAACTCATTGACGTCTAGCATCGATCGGCAGATAACCTCCAGGGATCAGCGCCACTTTTCAGAGCGTTTCCTCACAAAACTGCTACGTCGATATCCTACTGGCCGAGTCTTTGCTTTCGACGAGAATGGGTCTCTGCAGTCATCCGACTTTTCGGAGGAGGACGCAGCGACACCGATTTCACCAGTAGCCGAGGAGGAGCTATCCTCGGCGCAACTGTCTGATCGAACCCGCAAACGGAACAAGAAGCTGCTTTCGCGTCAGAACGAAGGGAAAATGCTCAAGACCCTTTTCTCTGGCGCTCGTAGCGTTGCCCTCGTCCCTCTCTGGGACGCTCAGAAGCAACGGTGGTATTCGGGCGGTTTTGTGTACACGAAGACCGCTAATCGCGTTCTTACTATCGAGGGCGAGCTCAGCTACTTGCGAGCCTTTGGAACTGTCATCATGTCAGAAGTCGCAAAGCACAATGCTCGAATGGTGGATAAGGCGAAGTCGGACTTGCTCAGCTCCCTGTCGCACGAGCTTCGCTCGCCTTTACACGGTATTCTTCTTGGCGCGGAGTTGATGCAAGACACAATTCTTGACGCCTTTCAAGGAGACGTACTGCACTCTGTGGAGACGTGCGGAAAGACCCTGCTGGATACCATGGATCATCTCCTCGACTATAGCAAGCTTGGGAACTTCCTGAGACCGACGGTTGGGCGACGGAACAGTAATGCCGGTACGGAGGATCGGGGGCTTCGCACCTCTGACAAAAACCACACTATAGAAGCTGGCATGATGTCTCTCAGCCGCAACGTAAACATCGACGTGCTCGCTGAGGAGGTCATCGAGAGTGTTTGCGCTGGCTTCAGCTTCCAACGTCTCGCCGTTTCCCGACTGACTGGGAACCGACCATCAGAACATGCCGATATCGACGCTCTGCATAGGCTAGACAGCATGCAAGCTCTCGAGAACATGTCTTCAGAGAGCAATAAAGGAGGCGACTCTCAGATTCTGGTCGGTGAAGTGTCAGTGACGTACGATGTGAATCCAGCCGCCTCCTGGCGCTTTAACACCCAGCCCGGTGCTCTCAGGAGGGTAAGCCGTTGTTCCCTCTGTGCTCCACGAAAGATTGAATAACTAACTGGTCCAGATCATCCTGAACATTCTCGGAAATTCACTCAAATACACCACTCGGGGCTTTATTAATGTTAACGTTCTCCAAGTGGAGTCTTCGATACCAGGGTCACGAGAAATCCATATTGTGGTCGTTGACTCTGGGAAAGGCATGTCCGAAGATTACTTACGCTATCATCTGTATGCTCCCTTTCATCAAGAAGACACCCTTTCGGCAGGCACGGGTGTCGGTTTAAGTCTCGTGAAGGAGGTGGTTACTCGCTTGGGAGGGTCGATCCAGGTACAGAGCAAGGTCAATCGAGGCACCAAAGTTACTGTCAAGTTGCCGCTGCAGCAGGCCTCACCGCCATCGCCCAAGACAAGCATCCCGAAAACGGTAAACTTCGACAAATTCCGCGCCCAAGTGAGCGAATTGAAAGGGCTACGAGTGCGTCTTCTTGGATTTCCAACCGGAATCGGCACCAAGATTGAGGACGAGCTTTCGGCAAACGTGTCAAGTGAACACGCCCTACTCGAAGGATTGTGTCACGAGTGGCTGCAGATGCACGTCATCGGCGAGTCTTCTCTTGATAAACTGCTTCCCGATCTTATTCTGGCTACGGAGCGAAATCTTGACCGTCTACTTTACGAGCGGAGACACCATGGCGTATCCACCCCCGTTGTCGTCGTATGTCGCAATGCATTGATTGCGAGACAATTGGCGACCTCTCCTCGGTTCACAGGCCGGCGAGTCGTGTTCGAATTCGTATCTCAGCCGTGAGTTTTGTTGTGCCCGACGTACCGGTTTCAGACTAACAACATCACAGCATTGGGCCGAGGAAGCTTGCTCGCATTTTGCTGCTGAGCTTCAGGAGATGGACAAAACTGCAAGCCTCCGTCATCAGGACTCCTACGGTGTTATCGTTGGCCAGTGCCGAACCAGGACATCTTGATGGGTCATCTAGGCTAGACTCGCTGGGCGTTCGATCAACATCAGCAATGAGCACGGAGGCCGCTCCCGACAAGACGGAATACTTCGGAGCTGCAGACATAGCAGCAACAGATTCAACGGATACGATAAGACAGGCAGAAACTGAGGAGGACAGAACCATGACGTTGCCAGAGCGTCCAGGTCCCAGGTCATCGACGCCGACACCTGGCAACCCGGAACCCAGTCAGTCACCTAACGAGAGTGATGGCGATCCAGACTTGTTCCTTCTCGTCGACGACAACGCGATCAATTTGAGGATCCTGTCCGAGTATATGAAGAAATTGGGTCACAAGTACACGACAGCAATGGATGGGAAACAGGCCGTCGAAGCTTTCAGGAAGGGCGAAGGGCGATACAAGTGCATATTCATGGACATATCTATGCCCGTTATGGACGGCTTTGAAGCTACTCGTGAGATTCGTGTGTTCGAGACGAGGAAGAATATGCCGAGGTGCCAAGTGTTTGCTCTAACGGGCTTGGCATCAGCGAGCGCCCAGGAAGAGGCATTTGCGAGTGGGATCGATTTATTCCTGACGAAGCCCGTGAAGTTGAAGGAACTAAGCAAGATCTTACAGACGAGAGATATTGCGTGATGTACATCACGACGGGAGAAAGATCTAGGTAGGGCGGAGGATGGTTATTGCTGGCATAGATACCCCATGTGGCAGGCACGATTGCGGGAGTTTTGAGCAAAGGGCGACTGTCGCTTAGGTAAAACAAGAAGAATCTATCTGTAGAAGCGATACGATCTTTCTCGCAGATTTCCTCGGCCTTGAGGAATTCGAGGCATTTACATGTTCAGTTCTTTCCGTCGTCGTTTCGTGCAGACTACTCCCGGTAATGTGGATCCACCCGGGGATCCAGCTCCGATGCTGTATCCGGCCCCGTTTCGGTAAATTCGGCTTGGATTCCGGGTACTCGCCGCCGGCGACAATCACCTACTCCAGGGGGTTGTTTGAGGAGACCCTTTCCGTTACTGTTATCGCCATCGTCTTCATCTTCCTTACCTTCGTTATCAAGACTATCTCCTCTTTCGTAGTAGATTATTATTTCAAGTATTGTCTCTACCTGCGATTATTATGGTGGTCTTCACTAGGGACTATCGTCCTCGACTGAAGTGACTCGATACGCCGGGAAATATAGCCGCGCTGGCATAGGACGGTCAGGTGATATCTATCTAAGAGTTACTCTGTCGTAGCTTGTATGAGATATTTTGACACGAGAGCTGACGTGATGAAGCCAAGAGAAGCGCACTTTGCTATGAAGATATATTTCTACCGAACTTGGAATCCGCATTGTAGCCGTCGTTAATAATTTCCCCTGTAATATTCAGCCCGTCTTTCTGGGTTCCCTAACCTAGAGACCTTCGCTCTTTTCTCCGGAGGGTTACATCGATAGGCACAGAGATGACGTGACCCCACACAAGTGCTGTGAACGCGATGTAGCATCGCCTTCAAAAAGCGATGGCAAGTTTACTGATAAAATAACTGATTCTATCCTGGGTATAAAGTTTTGCCTTCCTGCTCGAGCGCTCTTGGCTCTCTGTTGTTTGATAGGTACACAGTGGAGGATCACCGGCTCCCTTTCCCTCGTGTCACGCATCGACCCACTGACGTTTGCTACCATCTTCCCTTATCAGCGCAATGTGGTGTGGAATTGGTTTCGAAAGTTTCGAGAATTGTGCTCTGTGCTGCTAGCTTGACTTCCGCAGCGGCGGAGGTGGTGACAAGACAGTCGGTGGAGACTCGGTTTCCTCGTCGTCGCTGTCTTCCTGCTCGTCGCCCTCTTCTGCCTCGGCCTTTTGGTGTGCACCCTCCTCGGCCTTTTCCCGAATCTGTGTCAGTCTCTCTGGACAAAGCAAGAAGGACAAACCAGAATGGGTGGTGTATAATTGGAAACACAAACCCTTAGAATTGCAAGCCACTCCTCGGGAGGCCGCTGCATCGTCCGGCGGAAGTCATCGCTCAACCGCAAAGCCGAGGGGAACTCCATCAGGGTCAACGTATGGCGCGTGCTGTGGCTTTTAGGGTCCCCTCCGTCTGTCGTCGTTCTTGATTTCAGTGTTGAGTTGGTGTTCTTGCTTATCGGTGGCAGCGGCGGCGGGTGGACCTCGAAGATGCCGTGGGGGGATGTGAGGTCCGTATCAGTTCGTGGTGGATTCTCGAGGTCGAGGTTATGCGCCGCGCGGACCTGGCGGCTGGTCTCGTTGCGCCGGGGTTGTTGGCGCTGGCGCCATTGGTCGTTCCGGAAGCCGCTGGAGTTGGTGCGGCGGACTTTGGTCGCTACGAGTTTGTAGAGGGGCCGGAGGGTGGCGATGGAGGCGGCGATGATGCCGACGCCGGGCTCGACGGTGCTCCAGATTGCGAAGTTGGTGGTCTCATCTGTACGCAAGAACCTTGGTTAGTCTGACATGTTACTGTGTGTGTGATGGGGCCGTTGCCGTACACAAGAAGTTTTCACCATCGAGTAAGGTCGGTATATAAAACGCCCGTACGACCGTAGCCGTGCTCCCGCTACACAACCACCAACATCAGCCTTGAACCTTGCGTATCTTAGAGTCACTGCTTTAGGGAGAAGTTCTGCCTTACATCGCGGCAAGACCAAGTATACCGACGACCAAAATCTTGGTCCTCAGCGGCAGGTTCATGGATCGGACGATGAACCACGGGAGCGTGCCGAAGATGAAGTCCGCGCTCGTGTTGATCACCGTTGCGGCGATGGTCATGATGAGGATGACCTGCTGCGGCCAGCACTTTTCGGGCGTGCGCGGCCCTTGCTCCCAGTACGTGGGGACGGGGCGACACTGGAATGCGACCATGAGGAGGTACGTCGTCCCGAAGACTACTGTTCCGGCGATTAGGAGCCATATCGTCAAGATGTGCGCCCGTTCTATTGCGACTCGCAGGAGGAAGTAGCCGACGGAAATTTTGAGCAAGCAGGTTGAGCAGACGTTGAGGAGTTCCAGTATCCACCACAACTGGGAGACATAGGTGTCAGTACGGTTCTGATTGAAGAGGTTCTGATTGACGAATATTGGAACTGACTTTGAGTGATTCTAGTTTCTTCTGGGGGGTCAAGTCCACATCGAGAAGACCTATCCCACGCGTGCCGCCGTAAACCTGTAAACCTAGATAGACCGTGAACAGTACCTATTACAAGGGGATCTCTTAGCTTGAATACGTCTGTCAGCCATGCGGTCAACACATACCAAGAGTATTCCCATCACCTTATCATCATTACCAATGCACCGAACCAGGGACGTCCGGCAGTAAATCCGCAGGCCGACCGCAAGCCACGTCAAAACCAGGAACAGAATGGCCACGGCGATGACTTGCGCGCTCCTGTCCGCCATGAGGTCTAGGGCGTCGATATGTCCCTTAGCGCCATTTGACGAGTGCGGCCGGGTGACGAACGTAGCATCGCGGTTAACGTCATGCAGATGCGGAGACCACGGACGAGATGAATGTTGTGGAATAGGGACTACCAGATGCTCACTGGCTACGGGGGCTGGGAGCGAAACTCACGCCCTACTAGCGGTAGAGCGGGAAGCTCATCCCAAGATGCGCCAGAAGAGCAATACCCAACGGGCATGGCCCATGCTTCGTATGCACGAAGATGAACGAGTTGCAGGGTATTGACGGTAAGCAAGGTTCCCTTGAAACAGGTGGCTCGTAAGACCAAGGAATCTGTATTAACGGGATTGGAAGACTACTCGAACCTCCTTTTCCGATGGATACGAGTGATTGGCCCTTATGTGCGGATGGAAACTCTATCTCACGTGGGAATTTGAGATGGAGCATTGGCCGTATGAAAACGCAATATTATCTACCGGATGAAGCGGGGAGCATTGATATTTAGTTCTCCATGATGGTAATATTCTGAATGAATGGGTGGGACTTTCGATCCCTTCATTACGGCAGTGAGAGGCTCCAGCTAGATTACCAGTAAGGGATCCGGTACAATGAATGCATCCTTGAGTATGTACCTCTCTTGCACTACAGGAGCAAATATCAGCTGAAACGGGACTTCTTCGATGGATAGCGATTAATCAGACGGAACGTGCATCTCAAAACTCAGAGTGGGCTCAGGAGGACAGAGTCTCTCTGTATTCGTGTTGGTGTCGTCGGACATAAAGAGCGAACTGTCCGACATTACGCAGTTGAATCTCGGATGGTCGGATATTATAGTGTTATGTGTACATTTTGTTGGTGTGTTCATGCCAGAAAGGCTTTGGCCTTTGACGGGTAGCCAAGCAATCCAATCTTGAACACGAGGATAACGCGTCGCAATATGTTCTCGCAATATTCACGTGGTTTTAAAGCACAATCGATCAGTGACTAAAGTGACTTCCTTGTTATTGAACAATCTAGGTTGAACATTCGCTTGATGAACTCGACTAACTCATGTGTTTCGTATGACCCCACCTGATCTCACCAGAGCCTGCGCTCGCTCCTTTACATTACACCGAAGGTTCCGGCTTGATCAAGCCAATACTACTCAACAGCGGCCTATCACTCACAGCAACCAGGTACGCCGTTGTGGAAAGGTCGTTGATGTGTTGGATCTTGGACCACGCAGGCACGGCGAACGTATCCCTCGAAGACCACTTGAAGATGACCCGGGGACCTGATGGCGGCTCAACAATGGTCTGTCCTTGGCCCTCGTAGCAGTGGTAGAGGAACGAGGCCTGCTCGCGCACCTCTTTCGTCGTGTGGTGGCCATCGATGCGCTCAGCTTGGGCGCCGAGAATGGGGGATAGTGGCTTTCCGTTGCTGGTGTAGTGGTAGACGGCGTGAGGACCCTCTTGGGCCTTGAGCTCGACCTCGACCTTGTCCCATGGATGCCTCCATTCGCAGTCTTCAGTCAAACTATTAGATGTTAGTACAAATTCATAAAGCTTGTGGGAACGTCCTTACACGCTAGGGTAACGGCTCTCGTGATACTGTTCCGCGAAGTGAACGGGAGTGAATCTGAATAGTGGAAGGTTGAGAGCGTCCAGCCAGATGACGGGGGCATCACTCTCGTTGCCGTGGTCGTGCCAATGCCAGACGGGCGTGACGACGACATCACCTCTCCTAAGAGGCATCTTCCTTCCCTCGACGGCAGTGAAGCCCTCTCCATCAATGATGAATCTGAGGGCGAATGCAATGTGTCGGTGGGCTGGTGCGGTTTCTCCAGGATTGACGATTTGAAGACCACCGTAGATGGTGTCAGTGGTGTAAGGTGATTCTACGATGTGTAAGCCTCAATGGTCACGTTGTGGGTGATATCAAACATACGCATGGTAGGGTTGACCAGCATCAGAACTCTCCTCTCAGCCTGCTTCTCGCCCACCATCTCGGCGGCCTTGTGGAGGAGAGGGAGGTTGTCGGCGTACTTCCAGATGTGTGGCCGTGCGACCGGCTGTGGCGTTGGTGGCACCATCACGTTCATCTGGGACCATAGTGGCTCGAGGTGTTGGGCTGGGAGCTGCTGCAGGTAGTCGGTCATGGCCTTGGCCGAATGGTCGTCCTCGTGAGGGGAGTCCATGGTGGCGTTCGGGGTATGCAAGTGCTTCAGAGTTGATTGCGGTTGTGACGAAGTGAATGCGGTTTGGAGATTGCAGATGGTGAAAATGTAGCTTGAAGGGCTTGATCGAAAAGGCGCATTTCAAGAGATGAAGTTGGATGCTCGAGGGACCATCGACGGAGGTTATCAAGGAGCGTTTCCCCATTATCCCCGGATTGCTGACCCCCTTGCCCGCAGTAAAGGTGCGGAACGGCGCCACCCGGGACGGGTCCGGCGCATGCAGCTGGCCTCATTCCGAGTTCCGACGCGTCGCACAATTCCCCGACCACAACCACCGGAACCAACTATGATTGGCTCAACTTACAAATGCCCCAGTAAGGGACCATTGAGGGGAACATTAGCATCATCTCAGAAACGCGCTTTAAAGAGAGAATTGTCCAAGAACTGCGGCGAAACGGCATCGTTGTTGCTAAAATAGAAACAAACAGCTATTTACTGCCACACATCTGCCCATCATGTCTTGGAACCGTCTTGTCCGCTTCGTGGATGATAACGATGTCGAGCATTTTGGCGAGCCTGACATCCAGAATGAGACGGAACTGACGGAGCGACTGGACAAGAATGACTTGTGGGCCGTGGTCTTCGATGGCGCAAGTCCCGTCTCAACCCTGACCAAGGGCGAACGCGTGCACGTCAAGGCCCTGCGACCCCTCCTGACACCGAAGGATGTTCCGATTGTTCGGTGTATTGGTCTGAACTACGTCAAGCACAGTAGGTTACATCCCTTGTCGGCACAATGATCACGGTGACAGGCTAACAGTCGACAGTCAAGGAGGGCGGCCGTACACCGCCACCATACCCGTCCGTTTTCATCAAGCCGGCGACCTCTGTCGCCGCCTGGAATGAGGATGTCCCGATTCCAAAGGTCGCTCAGGACGGCACGGTGGACTACGAAGGCGAGTTGGTAAGAAATTTTCCCTCGCTCATCGAAACTTAAGCTGATGATGATACAAGGCCTTTGTGATCGGAAAGGACGCCAAGAACGTCCCCAAAGAAAAGGCTCTCGAGTACGTCGCCGGCTACCTCACCTCAAATGATGTTTCAGCAAGGGCGTGGCAAAGAGACCCCGCCAAGGCCGGCGGTGTACCCCAGTGGTGCTTCAGCAAGGGTTTCGACAAGTTCGCCCCGCTGAGCCCGATGCTCGTCTCTCCGGCGGTTGTTGGTAACGCAAGCGACCTTCTGCTGCAGACATTTGTCAACGGCGAAGAAAGACAACATGAGAGCACAGGCGACCTGCTCTTCGGCGTCGAGGAGATTATCAGCTTCTGCAGCCAGGGTACGACGTTAACGGCCGGAACCGTGATCCTCACGGGAACGCCGTCGGGGGTTGCTATGGGTATGAAGCCACCCAAGTATCTGAACGATGGCGATGTCGTTGAGGTCAGGATAAGCAAGCTGGGTGGTGTGAAGAACAAGATGGTGTTTGAATAGAACCTCGCCAGTCACCGCTGCAGAAGGGTTGAGTTTGAGCAGGCTGAATCATTGGACGGGTATCTCTGCGATGAATGAATGTTGTTATATACATTAAGATGCATGATAGCATCTTTCAGAGACTTCCTGGCATACTATTTAGCCAGGAGAAGTCATTGACATCAAATGATATTGCATCCATGTCAAATGCTGCGTCTTGTGCCATGTACGTGAATGGCATGTCGAAGGTCTCTTGTTCGCTGGGAACAGCTGGCATGGCTGGATTGGTTTCAGAGTTGGTGATTGTTGTTGTTTGCGGTTGCTCCTGAAACATCTTGGTCGATAAAATCTGGAGTGCCGCAGCACATCTCTTGGGTGAAGGTCCGAGGCTTTCGTGATCGTGTAGAAGAGCCATGGCCTGATTCCAGGATTTGGAAATGTCGAGTGAAGAGAAGACCGTTGGGCGTAGTCTAGCTGCAATGAGAACAGTGGCGGCTGTGTAGATGTAGAACACCCGATACCACCAAGCGGGAAGAAGACCGAGCGTGCCATCGTGTCGTTGGAATTGGACAATGACTGAGATGAGGCTTTGCGCTGCCTCGACGCAGACCATAGCGCACTGCTGCATGACGCGAGACGAGAGGTCGTCGTGGGCTTGTGTTGAGTCGGGGCATTGAGACAAACAGAAGCGTGTGAGCATTGGTCTCAGCAGTAACATTCGAGCATGAAGAAGTCTGGTTATGTGTCAGGAATGAGCCCTTACTCCCAAGCCTGGAGACTTACCGTATCCGAAGAATGACAGCCTGTCTACGAAAGACCTCATCTAACTGGGTCTCTGGCTCAGCCATGGCCAGAAACGACGGTGTGTTCTTTTCCCACTTCGTGAGGCGCTGATCCAGCTGCAAGGCAACACCTAGATCAAGTTCATGTCGTTCTTGAGAATGCTGGCCTAGATGACTGGGTGATGTGGGTGACTTTAATCTAGGTGAAGTGGTGTAGAAAGCAAGAACCGCTTGGTTGATGACCTCGTACAATTCTAGCGACTTCACGAAGAAGCCCTGATACCTGAGACGATGCAGCTCAACGGTGTTTCCGCCTTGGGCGTCTCCGTCTGGTATCGGAGGAAGAACTACAGTCGATGCCAGATGATCTGAGATCATTGCTGGTCGACCATGCGTGATGGCAATCATCCTGGACGGTGGTATAAGCTGGATAAATTCATAACAGGTGAGGTTGCGGACTCACCGATCCATGAGAATGCACCCATGCCATATTCGTCTGACCAAGTCTCTCTCGGGCTCACTTGAAAGTTCCAACGCAGTCTCCGGAAGGTGAAGGCCCAAGCCCTGTGCGATCCTCACGCAGGATCCCACAATCATCCAAGTCTGATGAGGATTGTTTGTGCTTTGCAAATATTGGCTCATGATGAGCAAACACTGAATGAGTTCAACAGACCCTGTATCCCAAAGACTAAGTTGCAGTAAGTCCTGAGCACGTGTGAAGTACCCATGACTTGACGAGTCCCTTTGCTCAGGCGGCATAGACTCGATCAGTTGGGTAGAGAGAGCAAATATGATGTTAAGTATGCTCACGAATACTCGTTCATCCGCATCAAGTGATGTACCAGCGAAGAGAGCGCGATACGAATGGTCAAACCGTTGGCGGTCCAGAAAGGGATACAGAGGATCAACATAGTACCAGTATAGGTCCGTCAAGTGGTCTGCCTGCTTACGCGCTGGAAGCACGTAGTCAGCTTGCCCCCCTGGGCCTCCTCCATTCAAAGGGAGTGATGATTTGAAGATAGAGCCCCTTGGTCCCCTAGTCTCCGTTGCCGATCCCAGTTTGGCATCTATCGCTGCCTTGATCTGGTTGGTGAAGGAGCCTGCACTGCTGCTACCGAAGTACTCGCCAGTCACTGTGCCATCCTCCCGCACAGTTGTCATCGAATCGACGACCGAGGGACTTGCATCGGACGGGGTGATGGGATGGCGATCCATCCGGCCTCGCCTTGTCAGGTCTGGACCGGACGATGTCGTCGACTTTGGCGTGGCATTGGGCCGGGGACCGGGAGGCAGACGAGGTTGCGCAAAGGTTGCTTCTGGGGTATGGAGAATGCTGGGCAACGTCGTCTGAGGGTTGCCCGGGCTGACATCTGAAGTCCTTTCCCTAGCAGGAAGCGGCTTTTCTGGGGTTTCTGAGCTGTAGGTACAGCCATTTCTCAGGTCCGTCCTCTTCCAGCAATTTCCGCATGCTGTATCGCAGCGTCAGCATACGCATAATCAGATGACTTCAGCTTCGGAAGAGACGAAACGTTCTAGAAGCCGCCGCAGTAGACTTTTGCTTCCGTGCCGAACCCCACCAGCCACGCATCGGAGCACATCAGACTGGCCGGACGAGACCACTCACCGAGAACTCACCTGGGCGCGCCCCATCGCACTTCACTTTCCTCCTCCGACATGCCTCGCATGCCACATCGATTTTGATTCGCTTCGGCTTGGGCTCCATTGTTTTCTCCATCCCGCCGCTGGCCATGCTTGGAACGATAGCGGGCGCGCGCACGTGGGGATCGGTATCTCAACGCGCAGAGCCCCTCCCGAGAGACGAGGAGTCCTCTCGGAATGACGTGGTGAGCGGCTCGGAAGCAGGTCGACGCTGGAGGCCAAGTCTAATCATGGACCTCGGACACCACTGGTCAAAGCAAGATAGGAGATTGCGGGGAGAATAAGCAAAGTTCGGGGTCGGACAGGAATGTTTGGATGGAGAAGAAGGACAATTTCTGGGAGCGCCGCCGAGTTCCGACGCGACTTGAAGAAACTTGGGAGACTCTTCAAGAAAGCAGTGGGTCACAAGACGCTTTTGGCGGTGCACGGAAAACGGAACGCTGTCTGATTCGTTCAGTCTAGTCTTCCGGATGTTGTCCGAGTCATGTCCGGGGTTATCCACTGACTACGGAAACCACACTAGCTTATCTTCTCATACCCTCCCATTGAACAGCTCCGTCCACCGCGTGTTGCCAAGCGGGCCGTGACTTCACAAATATTTCAGCCTCCGGCGTCAGGTTGGATCTTGTTCCGAGACTGGTCAGCGCCGTGCTTGAATTCGCCTATCCGAACCTGTGCATTACGGATACATACCCACCATCCAGGAGACTCGTCCGGATGAGGAGAAACTGCCCCTGGGCTGATGCGGGGGCTGTCCACAGTGGGGTCCCGCAGACGCGACAGAACGCCTTTTCTTTGGGTGAGCCGCTCGAGGTGTTACTGAGTGTGAAGTGGGAGACGAGGTCTGAACCGGACGTAAGAGCTACCGATTCATGGGGGAATTTGGCAATCTGCATTGCTTCAGCTTTCTGTTGGGACTTTAGGGCTGTAGGTTTTACTGCACTAACCACTTGATGTGCGCCTCCCGCGCCTTTGCAGCAGTGGTCACAGAAACATGTGAATACGATGAGAGGGGTTGATGAAATCGACATAAAAATGCCACCACAAAGACACGAACCAGTGAAATATGACATATTCGGTATGCTACCCAATAAACACGCAAGGTCAAAGTTTCCAACGGGTGGGATAAGCCTTGATTTAAATATCTTTCTCTGGTTCTTTCCTATTCGCTTAAAACTGGACGTGATGTGGCTTGGAGCTCCAGACCTGATGGTAGCATTTTCTGCATTTTTTTGTGTTGAAATCAGAAGGCACTTAAGTGTCACTACTATTGATCAGGACTTGGAATTTAGTATGCGAACAGGAACTTTGTCAATTAGGACTGGAGGAGCATTGAATAGCCCTTTGGCAGCTCGGGTATGCTCTGAGCGTGCAGCCACCGCAACTCTAGACCTTTCTATCCGCAACGTTTTCAACCTCCACAAAATCGTCCTTCAACTTCTCCTCTCCAGCACCACTGATGCCAAGTGAATGGTTCTTGCCGTCGAAAACCTCGGCAATCTGCTCCAAAGTTCTACCCTTGGTCTCAGGGAAGAGGAACCAGATCAAGACCAGCAGAATTGCTAAGATGCAACAGAAGACAATGTAATACATCCAGCCCAGATTTGCCATACCGATGGGGTTGAGGAACTGTCCGATGATGAGACCAATAAAGGTAGATCCCAGGGAAATCGTCAAGCCCCTTCCGCGAAGCGTGTACGGCATGATCTCGACGGGGTAGGCCATGAGCAACGGCGACCAGGCGATGTCGTAGAAGAAGTAGTAGATGAAAATAAATGCCACCACCGTGTAGCCAGCTTTCTCGTCCTTTGTCCTCGCGAACACGCTGGTGAGGATGGTCCAGATGACGTAGCAGACCAGCATGCCGGCGGTTGAAATCAAGAAGAGCTTCCGACGGCCAATGCGGTCCACCATCATCGCACCCGCAAACACGGCAGCGATCCAGTTGAAGACCTGAAGGAGGCCGTTGATGAGCGCTTGGTCCTTGGTAGCGGTAATTCCTACAGTGTTGAGCACGAGGGTAAGGTAGTACGAAATGACGCCACTGCCAGACTGTTACGAGTTAGCTACCGTTCCCCAGAAATGGATTTGAAAGAGATTAAAGACATACCCATTGAGCACCAATACCAACGATGACTGCAATCAGAGTTCGGCGACGGTTGGGCCCAGTCTTAAGAAGGTCTAGGTAGGACGACTCCTTGGATGCCTCCATCTCGATACGGAGGTTCTCCTCAATCTCCTTGATTTCGTAGTCGACAAGAAGCGCGGATGAATCACCGCCGGCGTGGTAGCGGGTGATGACTTCGCGGGCAACATCGGTCTTGCCATTGGCAACCAGCCATCTTGGTGACTCGGGAACGAAGTAGAAGAATACACATTGAATTGCGGGAAGGGCACCCTGCAAGATTGAGGGGATTCTCCAACTCCATGTTGAGGGCAAGCGGAAGGTTCCATCTGCACAATGTTAACCAAAGAACAATGTTGTTCAGAGGGTGAAGAGCCTACAGGTGGACCATGCGGCGAGAATCGCCCCAAAGAAGAAGAATGTATTGTAAAGCGCACTGATCTTGCCTCGCTGAGTCGGGTAGGCAAGCTCGGTGACGAGAATAGGCGCGGGCTGCGCGATGAACGCAGTCGCGGCACCAAGGAGCCAACGGGAGACGATGAACATGGGCAAGCTGACACTGGCACCCTGCAGGGCGGCGCCCAGAAGGAGGAGGAAAAACCCAATCCACATGGGTGTCTTTCTACCATATTTGTCCGCCAGCCATGTAACAGGAACCAGACCCATGATCTTGCCGATGGGGTACACAGCGTTCATCGTGCCGAGGATCGGTGCGCTTGGATGACCAAAGTAGCCGCGCCATTGCTCAATCGTCTGCAGCCCGTTCATCATGGCACCGTCGAAGCCCACCGAGGCAGACGAAAACATCGGAACCAAAAGAGTCAGGTTGAGCAGAAGCAAGTGCTTGGTACGGTACCATGGTGCAGGGTTTTCGGGCAGGACCTTGAGCTGATGTTAGAGTTCGTCATGGCAGAGAGTTGAGGCATGTCATCTGGTGGAGTTTCGGGTGATGGGGGCAACAGCGAGTAAGAACGTACTGCTGTCAGGTCAGAGCCGACGGCCTGTTCGGCCGTCTTCGTTGTAGTCTTTGACTTGAGGAAGCCCATCTTGAATGTGGTCGGGCTACACTGGGATTGTAATGGAACTCCGTTGCAATCGACTTTTGGATCAGTGAAGTCGCCGAGCCAAGAACCACTCCGAGGCTCATCAGAGGTTGGAGAAGGAAGACGCGAGATATATGCAGAATCAGTCAAGTCGTGATTATGACTGGGGAACGGAACAGTGTCCGCTACATCCACCGCCCTTGTCTACCCCAGCCGTCCCCCAAACTATCTGCAATTTTCCCCACGGGAGGTGGATTCTTCCCCAACTTGGCGCGTTGGCTAGCTTGATTGAGTGGCTAGCCCGCGGTCCCGGGAATACGGGTTCTTTGACGGAACTCGGGAGTCGGATGACAAGTGGGCTGGGATGAACTCCAAAGAGGCTAGGACTTAGCTCATCTGTTAACGCCGCACGGATTCTGGATCCTCGGTGAGAGATGGTGAAGCATCAGAGTCAGGTGACCTTCACCGACGGGTAGCCGCCCCGAGCAGACACGTTTTCCGGAATGTTCCCCGGGGACGGTCCCCGAGCAGACTTTCGCGTGCGGTCAGACTCTATGACATCGCACACTAGCGAGTCACGGCAGAGATTCTCGAACCCAAAAAGCTCCCCGAGGCCTCTGCGCAGCCGGTTCTGAAACGGTTCTGCGGGGGAGTCGGGGGATCAGTGCTGCATGATAATTAAACTCGAGATCCCCATCCCCCTCAACTTCCGTCGCTCCTCTCCCCGACACGAGATGCTTCCGAAAGACGAGGTTCCAACCGGCCATCTATCGTCGCAATGGACCCACCGCCGAAGAGGATGAGAATGGATGCCGGTCGGGGTCTCCCCGACATGGGACATATGTCCGGCGGCGGCTCTCCTCCCGTCCCTCGTCCTGGCGTCGATCAGGCGCACGCCGAGCAAGCTGATCCCAGGATCCCGAAGCAGAGAACGTGGTCGCGCGCGTCATCCGCCTGCCAGACTTGTCGCGGACGCAAGACAAAGTGCGATAACGAGCGCCCTATATGCGGCTACTGTAGGAGGGTCGGCGCAACATGCACTTATATCGAGGACTCGGCCCCGGCCATGTCGTTGTAAGTTGACCCTACACTAGCATGGCCTACAAACTCTGTCCAGTGCCACTGTGCCATATTTGGCATCGCGCAGACGACATATATCAGTGTGGTACTAATGGGGCGCGGCTGGTCACCAGATGCCAAGGCGTTGGGCCACGGCTACTTGGGGCAATAGAGAACTTAACCAACCTGATCCAACGGAACGAGGAGAACTTTCGTGCCATTCCTCAGCTGAGTCGAGACTTGTCTCGTGACTCTAGCGACTACCCAGACAGCCCAACAGCGCCCACCGGACGGCAGGACAATCTCAACCTATTCACGGGCCAAGACGGCAACGGCCATGATGGAACTAAGAAAGCGGGTCACCCTTCGCTTTCGGAAACCGCTGGTCTCGACTCGGTGTTAGAGTGGCCTATATTTCCCAAACCGGTGCCTTTCGCGATAGACCCTTTCAGCCATGCCTCCCCACGTGGGGAGGTGTTCTCCCCGAGATCCCCACCAGCGATGGAGTTCTACGAGCTTTCTAGACTCGTTGACCTGTTTCTGGCTAACGTTCATCCCATGAATCCCGTCATCGACGTGTCTATGCTTCGCCAGATGTTGAAGCAAGTTGCCGAGAACGGGCCTGACTGGTCAGCTGCTACGTGCTTAGTCGCGCTTACATGCGCCCTGGGAGCTATATCCCAACGGCCGGGACAGAGGACACCGAGCGGGACCCCACGTGGCTACTCGGTTGAGCCCAACCGTCATCTCGCCTCGCGGTACTGGTCCGTTGCGGAGAAACGTCTTGGCTTTTCCATGGGCCAGCCCGGGTGGGAGTCAGTACAGTGCCTGTGTCTTGCAGGGTAAGCGGCCGCTCCCGTATGGTTGACAAATAGAATAAACAGGGCTGACCGATTCAGCATATGGCACATGTACAACATGAATCCCTTACAAGCGTGGAAGTGCTTCAGTATGGCGAGCAACACATGGTACACCACCTCGCTCACCAGCAAGTAAGACTACGATCCCTTCAGTATGGAGTCGCACGAGACTGACTTAGGTGCTCAGATTGACCTTGCCTGGAAAGGCAGAGACCCCCGAGTACCCTCAGTCTCTCTCACTAGAACAGATACTGTACTTCACATGCTATAAGTCGGAATCGTGAGTTCTTGGTCCCCGTACCTCTGTCATGTTCTCAGCCAGCTAAACCGGTTACAGAGAACTTGCTTTTGAGCTGTCTCTGCCGGGCTCGATTCTTGCCGGCATAGATTATCCCTACAACTTTCCCGCTCCACCAACCCTGGGGGTGATGAATCTAGACAACAAGGCACTGATGATGGAGCAAAGATCCTGGTACTACTATCTCGCGGAGATTGCCGCGAGACAGCTGATGAATCGCATTGTGCAAGCCCAGCGGCGTTCTCCTCCACACCCCACAGAGCATGGTATAGATCGGATGCTTGAAGTATTTGAGGTATTCGATGCCCAGTTGACGGATTGGTACGAGTCTTTGCCGCCGCCGATCTCATTCCAAATACCCAACGGCGAGATTGCGCCACTGGCGGACGATCTGTGTCAAATGCTCCGCGGACGCTATCTCACAATGAGAGAGCTTCTTTGCCGACCGTTTGTAAGGCTAGCTTCGACTATTTCGATTGGCATCACTGTGTCAGAGCATATGGTCACCAGGGTAGCAGAAATCGCTTCAAGGGGTCTCCAATATTGCTTATTCAGGATACAAGCCACGTCTTCCACTCCTCATCATGGCCTGTGGCTACAGCTCAGGGGGTTTGTCACTTGTTCTTTGATTTTGACCGCGGCAGAGCGGGCGCAATCCATCCCTTCTTTAAACATGCCTACAAGGGTTGTGTATCCTCAAAACTGGAAAAGAACTATCCTAGCACAGAAGGAGATCCTATCAAATTGCTGGGAATACGAGGAGGGAGGAATAAGTGACTGTGCAAGGGTCTTGGATTGGGCACTTGCCAAGTTTTCAATGTAGCATATTGTACCAACAGCTCTATTCTACAAACGGCGTTAGCTGTATTTACGTGAATGTGCATGGCAGGACCATGTCACGATGTTGCAGCTACTGCAGGGCATCAGGTTCCTCTCACATGACAGGCGTTCCACGTTGCCTTATATTCAATATTAGGTTAACGAACTAGCCTCAGACAGGCCCATAAATGTCATTTTACTAGGCGTCACTGCTGGATCTGAGCGACGCTAGTCGAAAGGTTTTCGGGGACGCGAAGTTGTCGATCTTTAACGTTGAACCGGAATCCTTTGCCGTCGGGGAGTCGGCCTGACCGAGTCCCAACGGCCACTCACGAGGTCCCTTTGCCGACATTAGCGCGACCGTTGAACTTTTGGCTGGCAGATTTTCTACGATCAGACCGGGCTTGGCCGTCCGGGGTTAGCAGACACGAGCAGCGCGATTACCGCGAGCGGACCCGAGACCCAAGATGCAAGACCTTATGTGCGTGGCATGTTCGCAAGGTTTTCCCACGTCTGCGGCCATGCAGTCGGGGCAAATTTCCGACGTTCTCTTTTGTTTCCGGCTGGGGTTCTGTGATCGGCCCGTCTCCCCGAGTGATCCGTCGGCTTAGCTCCCCGTCTGCAAGCTCCGGGGAACGATTAGGTGCGCCGTTAACTCAGGATCTAAAGCTTTTGATCGCCTACACAGAGACCTACAAGACCCATCGATGTTTTCTTCAATAAAAAGTAAGGTTAAGACGGGAGTTCCGAAACTCAGACGAGTCCCCCCACGGACCAACTGACGTGTGTCATTGGCTTCCCCCCTCGCCGTTGAATTGCGGCGCACGGGCGGCACAAAGGTTGGGATTAAGAGATGGGCGAACTATTCTGGAATCTGTCTCACTGGGTGTCTGCTCGGTTTCGTAAACAAGAGAGTAATCTGGCCTGTGTGGAGAACTTCTTTCAAGACGCATCATGACAACACAAGTCGCCCTGCACAGTCATTACTATGAACATCCCAATGGCTTTCTGTACTCAAAACCTGAAGACAGTGAAAAGTCGAATTTCGGTACGTCATTCTTAAACTGAGGACAGTTGAGAGTAGAGCGTGTTGCATTTCTTCATTGCGCAAACGCCGTGTTCACCGACTCCCACTCCGTCAGCTTTGTACGTGTAGCGCAGGCATTGTCCATCCGTATTGGCATCTTACAGCTTCTTCTGCCACTGTCTTCTACGCAGTCGTGACCCGTAGAGACAGACTTGCGCAAGTAGTCTGATGAATTGTTCTCGGCCTGCTTCGTAACTACCAAAAATACATATTGTCCCCAAGACAAACCAGCTTCAGCTTGGAAGGCTGACAACCACGGTATAGCTGGACTCGTGAGATCTAAACGGATACATGTATGGAGATCGGATGTGGCACTGATAATATTCTCCCATGACAATAGCTTTCCTTCCACATCCATCGTGGCCCTGCTCCCTGGTCCATGGGCTGTGTGCAACTCAGCCTCCACGCCTACACATGAGCCTAGACCTCTCCGTGCTGCAGCTGTTTTAAACAGTCGGCTCAACTCCATCCTATATCGACGTGCTGCCATTCAGCATCAAGAAGGCTATTGCTGGTAAATACCCATGCATCTTGTTTGTGCAAACAGCTGAGCTCTCCTCGACACAAATGCGAAGACCAGTAGTCCAGTCGTAGGCTACATTTAGCACGTAGCTTCCCGCCTCCACGCTGGCATAGACAGGCTCTTCAGATATTATTCTCAATGATCTCCCACTGTCAGTCCATACCGTGTCACCTCTGCTTCCAGTAACCATCATGACTGGTAATTTGCACAGCAACGAGCCTCTGGGTGATAGGTGGCCTTTGGCGACCGGCTTCATGTGCCATGAAGAGCCGTAAGAGTTGCAACTGTCACCCGCCTGGGACGTTATTCGGTGCTTTGTTTCGATCCCATGCACCGATGCGCGCTCCGGCGTGACGTACATCATGTTTTTGCCCAGGCTTTTTGAATAAGCGTCCTGCCCCTTCCCGGAATGCCGTGACATTGTGTATCGCTGACTCATTCTGAGGCCCCTACACGCCATCTTCGCAACTCCACCAACCACACTCAGTCTCCCCATCCCTCAGCCGAGTCTCTCTCCCTCCCTTTGCAAATCTACATTCCACCTTTTCCAAGGGAGAACTACGTGTTCGTTGCATCATGTAACGCCCCCGATGTGCTGAAGTCGGGTCGACGCTCGTGGCAATCACCGCGTACGTGCCGCTCTCCTCCTCCCTTTCAGTTTCTCCTTTCATGTCCTGATTGCCTAGACCGGTAATAGAAAGCCGGCAAGCCATTTGTGGATAACGTCGCGTGGTAAGATTTATGGCCTCTAGGTACGTACATCTGTCGCGTCTCCGGCCTCTGACACACCTTTTGATGGTATTTCGGGTGAGATGCTGCGATTCGATGGGGGACTTTGCGCGGCTAACAATGCAGAGAGTAGAATGGGGGCCAGAGACATCGCAGTAAGCAAAGGACAAAAAGGACGAAACGAAGCGAGATTAGGAAATAGGCTCAGGTGGGGGACTAAAAGAAATAGATGATGACATCGGCAGGCCCAAAGAGGAGTAAAAGCAATGTGCATATCTCTTTCGCGACCAATTGGGAGAAGTAGCTTAGTGGTCAATTTCCCCCCAGTGGTTGTGTCTTTTAACGTTAGAAGAAGAATGCCAAGTTGTGTAAGGATGGACACGATGTTTTCGTGACATGTCCAAGCTCCGGTTGCTCATCGCATCTAAAAAGCCTCTACGTGAGACAAAGGTGACTTACCTTCGAGAAGTTATCGCACGCAACGAGGAGGAGTACGTCCGGCGCACATATTCGTCCGCTGCCAACGGACAATTGAGTCCAGCCCCTGTTCATGGTTCCTCTCCACCTCTCCAACGGATGTTACCGAATATCAGCTCCTGGATGTGGTAGTCCGTATCCGAGTGGGACCGAGGCCGTATGCGTATCTTCGACACCAAAATCATCTCTCTGATCGGAGTTCGGCACGGAGTAGCCTTTGGTGGTTACAACGAAAACGGTTGGTTCAGCCGATTGACAACGCGAAGTTGGTCTTTGAGGCGGTGATGACTTCATCCTTACATCAGCTGTCGCGGTAACACGGAGCTTGCAGACACCGACGCCGGCCCCGTCTCTCCGACCTCCGATGTCGTAAGAAACAAAGGTCTCTTCATATATCATCGACTTATGATGAGATCTCATTAGGGCATACCGGCCGAAAAACACAGCAATCAAGTTCGACTCCTCAGAATCATGGGCAGAATCGATACTCACATTCACGCTCTTCCTGCGGCGTATGTGGCTGCTGTCGAAGCGACCGGGGGTGATCCATCAGGCTTCCCCTCGCCAGATTGGTCCTTAGAAGCTACCTTCAGCTCAATGAACACAATTAGCACATCCATCGGTAATTAAGCCACTCTGAATTTATTTGAATTCATATACTAAGATGTTTTCCATAGCGATATTGTCAGTGTCGGCGCCGGGACCCTCCATCGCTGGCGCAGGTGCCGCGGGCCGCAAGCTGGCTCGAGATCTGAACCAGCATCTGGGCAAGCTTACTACAAACCCAAAGTCCGAGCGAAGACTCGGGTTCTTCGGCGCGCTTCCGGATTGGCAAGATGTCGAAGGCACTCTCGCTGAGCTCGACTTTCTTTTCGGGGAACAGAAGCTCTGTTTCGGCGTTACCGTCTTCACGTCTTACGCTGACAGACTGCTCGGCCACCCTTCCTTCAAGCCGATCTGGCAGAAGCTTCAGGCCTACAAGGCGTTGGTGTTCACGCACCCAACGTCCCTCGATGTGACACCCAAGTTCATTGCGGACAACCTCCCACAACCCATCGTTGACTATCCCATGGCAACCACCCGCATGGCGGTAGACCTGGTGTTGACTGGAACACTGCGTGCTTGTCCCGACGTCGACGTCATTTTGTCCCATGCTGGAGGCACTCTACCCTTTCTTGCGAACAGGGTTATGGGTTCTTTGAAGATACCGTCGGTCGAAGAGATGCTTTCAACAGACTTCGACACGGCCGAAGCTGACTTTGCTCGCTTCTACTACGATACGGCCTTGAGTACCAGTCCAGCCCAGCTACTTGGCTTGCTTGAATCTGTAGAACCATCACATGTTCTATTTGGATCCGACTTTCCTTACTGTCCCCAGCCGGTGGTTGAGATGCAAACTCAGCTTTACGACAACTTCGTTGCTACCAACCCTCGAGGGGCGGTAATCAATCCTGAAGTTCTTCGACAAAACTCGAAGGCTCTTCTGACTATGCACCGGCAGAATTGCAACATAAACTGGGACTACGAGGCTAGCACTGGGAGAGAGACAAAGATTTGAGGTCGTCTAAGTAGATTGAGCAACTCATTGAATAGTCTATGGATAATCGCTTGCGTTATGATATGCGTCTGTTGAATGATTCCGCCTTTGGCATCCTGCTCTCCCAAGTCTACTCAGCATCAACCCACTCAAAGGGCAACTCGCCCTGTTGGAGCCTGTCAAATCTCTCCCGCTCCTCGGGTGACATGTCGGCGCGCAAAGCAGCCGCCTCGGCGCTCAGGTCGTCCACCTCCACATCAGCCATGGCATCTTCCAGCCCGGAAGCTCCCTCCTCGTGCTCCACTTCATCGTCGCTGTCATCCATTTCGAAGTCATCGTCATCCGCGTCGTCAGCGTCTTCCGCGTCGCCCACATCTTGCGCGATGCGCCTTCGCTCTTCCTCTTGGATCCGACGGCGATAGGCCTGCAGCGCGACAATGCACTCATCGTGACGGAA